GTTGGGTGGCGCCTCCTCTCCCACCTGCTGAGGCTACTTTCCTCCTGAAAAACACTTCCCCAGAGGCGGATAGATTCTGCTCCTCGGCTGGCTTCTCGCCCAAACTTTGTTTCGCGCCCGGTCTTTCTCTCCGTCCTCGGGCACTGAACAAAGCTGCCCCGGACGGCAGAGGGAGGAAAGGGAAAGGTGCGGCCCTGCTAATTCACGATCACTACCTTCACTGAGGTGTCCTGACCCAGGCTTAGCTCCCCCCTTCCATCTAGGCACTGCTGAAATATTTCCCAAGGTATCCTCAGGGGAAGCCAGCCAAACCCATGTGGCGATACCCCAGGTAACCCCCTGCAAAATGCTGTGAGAGAGGTGCTCGTTCTGTGCAGGGAGCACCTCTGGCCATGATTTTGGGGTAGGGCTGGGGGTTTTGGTTGTTTTTTTGTTTGATTCTCTCTCCCCCCCCCGCAAGGAGAGGTACCCTGCGTTTGCGCTGAATTTCCTTGTCTGCCCTTGAGATGGGAGGGGTGGCCGTCTCCCCATTTTCCTCTGCCTTGGGAAAGGAGAGAGAGACCGACCCTTCAACGGGAGCTGGGAAGAAGGCTCCTGATGGCAGCCTTCGGGGAGACATCTATAAAAAGAGTCACGGCTGCTACCCCTTGCGTATGCAAAGAAAAGAAAGGGGATCGCACGGCTACTGCCAGAGGTCCCGAGAAGTCAAGAGGTCCCGGGAGCAGCACAAAGGACGGGGCAGGGCGGCTGCGAGTCCCTTCCCATCCCGGCCTTTCTGCTCCCCCCTCCGGGCGCTCGCCCCGGGCCGCCGGGGGCCACCGGGACCGGCTGCTCCGCTGCGGCTCCTCGGCTCCTCCAGCTCGTTAAAATGCCCCTCATGCGGAAAGGGATCTCTGTCAGCCCCTGCGGATCGAGAGCTAAATCCAGGCACCCTGAAACTGACAGTTGGAGGAAAATCCTCCAGGGCTTAAGGAAACGCACTTTTACAATACTGGAGGGATTTGTTTAAGTTTCAGTCTGGGCTTTAATTGAAAAAACGCTTCTCATCTGCAGGACCTCAGAGGAGAGGAAAGAGCCTGAAGCACGCAGTTAAAAAAAGGGAGGAAAAGAACAGAAAAAGAACAAAAAAAGGGGGGGGGGGAGAAGGGAGGGGGGGAGGGTCCACAAAAAGCACCGTAAACATTTATCTTTCATATTTGTCTCCCATTTTCTTTGCTGGTTTAATCTAACTTATTTCATTTAGCCCACGAAGCAGAGGGGACCGAGTTATGAACATGAAACTGAAACCGCAATAATGAAGAGATTTCCTAGAATAAAAACGATTATTATAGAACAACATCTGAGTAACAAAATCTGCCAAAAAGTTTAATTTCCGTATACTCTGGTAAAACAAACCAGTTGCGCTCCAAAGCTGGGATCAGCTCAGCAATGGATACACCAACCAAAATAAACATCTCCACCAAATAGCGAATACACTTCCCTTCAATCACAGCCCCTTTCAAACCCATCTTTTACAGGCTCGGGTCCCCGGCTTTCGGGGACTTCTTAATGCCATGTTTCGACCAAGCGGCTGCTGAGAAGCGGACATCGCTCGAACAGGTAGAAGGCGGCTGCCGACTGGCTGTGCTACCCCCGATTCTCGTACCAAGGCTGCGTCATGTCGCGATGGAAGCAGCGGGCGGCTCTGCCTCGGCGGCTGCCTGGCCCGCCTCCGCGCCCTTGCCCGTCCTTGCCTCGCAACGACACCTTCATATATCGCGACATCCGTGTTGGGAGCAAACGCTTCCTCCCGCTCGACTGACATTAATGATCAAAACGAGTTAGCTGAAACGGGGGAAGGTTAGAGGCATTTTCAGACGACGTCTTCCCGCTCCCGCCCCTTTGCATTTAATACATTTAGCCGAAATGACTTGGGCATGTCACCCGAGGGTGACATTCAGACAGATGTCCCGTCACGGAAGGCGAAAAAGGACGCTGGCTCGCCGATCTAGAGCAGGGAAGGATGTTTATGTATAAAACCACGGATATTTACCAAAAAATATATTCCGAATAAGTCGTTACAACGAGATCAGGAATGGCACGTCGGCCTCCCTGCCCCTCCAGGAAAAAAAAAAAAAAAGAAAAGATAGATAGATAGAGATACATAGAGATAGACAGACAGACAGACAGACATCGATATAATTTTTAATATTTTTTTTTTACGATAGGAACAATTTAAACTGATGCCTCAGGAAAGGTAAACGCGGTCTTATCGACTGGGAGATCATTTTTTTTCTACTAAAAATGTGTAGTAAACATCATCGGGCTTGGTAGTGTTTTTCTTAGCTGATCCTCAGGTACAATCAAGCCATTTTCGGGCACATTCCCATGTATGTAGCAGTGGTGATCTGGAGGAAGCTGTCGACGCCTGTTCAGTTAATTTAGGTTTTCTTTGTCTAATTACTGTGGAGCTTAGGGAAAAGGAGCCGGGCTCAGGGCAGTAAACTGACACTTGGGCTCTGTGTGTGGTATCCAGGCAGAGTTTGATGGAAAAAGCCTGCTACCACTCAACTGCAGGTCACTGTCTGGGACCGGCCCCACCCCCTCCCTGCCCGTACCCACCAGCGAGCTCTCAGCACGGAGCTGCTCTGGAGACAGACGGACACGCAGACAGACACGCAGACACACAGCGCTGCAGGCACGCCGACACGGCGTCCCTCTCTGCCCCGCGTCCTTCCCACCCCCGTGCCTTTGGTCCAGCATCCCC